TATCAGTGGACATACCTCCTACGGGCCATGGTGCACGAGTGAATATGCAGGCAGGCTGGAATTGCGTCGATAAATTCACTGTTTAAGGAGCCTGCCGACTCACACAAAAAAATAAATATCATTCGGAATTTGCACGAATCCGCCTAGATTCTCGCTCAAGCAGCGCTTTGAGCTGCGTTACATCATAAGTGGCTACTGGCGAACTACAAAGAGAGGAGAAGTATCAATACTGCTATTAAATGATACGCTCGTTTTATCGGCAGTCTCTACGATATGCAGAGCACAGTGTTTCTTATATGAGTCTACATGCGCTCGATCGTTTCACGAGAAACCTGAGTATAAGTAACGCTGTTACGACATTTATATTGGTGACGATTCAATTTTATAAGGCCAGTTTTGCGGAAGATAATACTTATTGCTTTCTGAAAGGCTTATTACATAATGAACATATTTAAAAAACACACAAGCGTATTAAAAAGTGCCAATTGTATATATAGCCTGTCTGCTAATCTGCGTAAATTCATTGTAACCAGTTCTCATTTTGTATCAACAGCTTAAATTGTGCTGCTTTCCAAATAATCTATTGGCGTGATGCCATTGCAAGCCAGCAAACTTATGACGATGTTTTGTATTAGAAGGATAGTTCTATTATTAAGTGTCATAAGTATAGGCAGACAGTGGTGCATCTTGTTTTGAGAAATTTAACTTCTATATGTACACATTGAAAACACACACACACAATATATATATATATATATATATATATATATATATATATATATATATATATATATATATATATATATATATATATATATATATATATATATATGTGACGCTATGATGACTGGGCGACGTGGCGTGGCTCATACCCCATGTTTATTGCATTCTGACTTCTTCCTTCTCTGCCTCTACAAACCATCACTTGATACGTCACACGATTCCCCCTCCCCCCGAAAGAAGGCATGGATTACGCACAACAAAAAGTAAATAAGGAGAGGTTGAGAAGTCACAAATGTCACAGTTCACAATTCGTTCTGTGCTCCAGGGAAGATCCGTAAACTTTCAGACTTCAGGGGAGAGTGCAACAGTCCGGTTAACGCAGGAGTTCTGGTGGGCGAGGCTGACTGTGGCGTTCTGGAAAAGACAACCACGTCCTGCACAACTCCACTGACCATGACACGACTTCAGCAGCTGCAAAGAATGAACTAGGTTGGACGTCCTTGTAGCCTTTGAAGGTCGGACGTCGTAGGCGCCGAATTTTCTGTCGTGGGTGCTGTATTCTGTGTCGTGGCTGAGACAGAAGCATTGCTTCCAGCTTGCGTCTGCGAGAACCGAAGTTGATGATACGATGTCTGTATTCCTGCATTTTGCTAATGGTAGCGTTCAGTCTTTTTCGTGGTTTTCTGTGGTGGTATCTCCGTCGGTAGGATTGTACATGATGTCTTGATATCTGGTACAGAAGACTTCCTTGATGTTTCCTTCTACGAATATGGCTCAGATGCTGATTTGGTCTTTCCATTAGTTGGCGTCGTTCCTGACGACCATCCTTAAGCCACAAATCTGCTTGTGATCTTATTTTAGTTTGTAGTGCTTGATGTAACTGCCGTGGTTTCTGGAGTTCTTTGAGTTCTTGATGGCACTGCTGATGTTGCGGAAACCAACGAGGTCGTGTTCCTTTAGTAACATGAGCCTGCTTTTCTTTGATAGTTGGTGTAATGACCAATAAATAGTTGGTAGTCGGGTTGTCGTGATTCTCAAAAGAAAATGAAGGTGGTGCACTAGAATCAACAAAAATATCTTTGGAGGCTTTTTCTGCACTGTTCACTGCGAAGGGCTCTTGCGCTTGGCAGCGTGCGATGTTAGATTCGTCTGAACCTTCGGTGTTTCTTCCACTGTCAAGTGTGTATGGACTGGATGGCAATGCATGAACCCGTGTGGAAGGAGCATGGCTCGACAGGGTATTTTCCCAATGCGCCAGGTCATCTACCATAAATACGGCGTCCTTATAAGGCAAATGGTGAGTGTTAGGAGCGCTTGAAGAACCACGTGATGAAAACCCAGGTGGTGGACCACGTATGCCAGACGAAGAGTGAACGGCATCAGGTGGTTGGGCAACGTCTCGGGTCATATGCTGAAGCGATGACTTCGCAAATGCCGACTTTCGTGCAGAAGGGAGGCGCGCTCGATGGCTGTGTTTTTCCCAAAATACGCGTTGTCCTCTGCCACTGAACTCGTGTGCCACTTCGTCTTTTGTCAGAGGTCGAATCTTGTTGTGCGTTCGAATGGTTGATGACTGCCTGTAAAATTGACGTCTGAGTGCAGTTGTCTGTGGATGGTGGGACACAAGCAAGTCTTCGTCGTAGTCGTCATCGTATTTTTTAAACCAAACAATCATTTCTTGTTTTATCTTTTGCCAAGACTCATCGTTGTCGAATATGTGGGTGAGGTAGAATTTAAATGCCTCACCGGTAACGTAGTCGCTGAAGTTCGTAACCATCTCCCGTTCCGACCAAGATGCAGCGGCGGCGTGGACCTCGAATAGGTTGAACCAGTCCTGTACGGGTCCGTCGTCCGCTGATCCGGTGTACTTGGGGATGTCGAGGTCAGCCGATGGTTCTGTCATGGTGCTGGTCGTTGTTCTTCTAGGCGATGATTCGGTAGTCAATGTATAGTTAGGGTGTCTTCTGGGGAACTGCGTCGAAGATGAGTGACTGATGAAGGGGCAGGCAGGTCTCCATCCTGTCGACTTGTGTGACGCTATGATGACTGGGCGACGTGGCGTGGCTCATACCCCATGTTTATTGCATTCTGACTTCTTCCTTCTCTGCCTCTACAAACCATCACTTGATACGTCACATATATATATATATATATATATATATATATATATATATATATATATATATATATATATATATATATATATATATATATATATATATATATATATATATATATATATATATATATATATGTCAGGGATGTCAGTCAGGGATGTAAGTTCCTCCCTGATGATGTCACGTAAGGGCATTCCCGAAGGCTGTGTAGGTCGTGGTGTAGGAGGTGTGAAGCCCATGGACCGCAATTCTTCGCGTATAATGTCCCGGATGAGGTCACGCAGATGGCCATCTGATGTGGAGTGGTGGTCGCCGATGTCTGGTTGAAGGCGGACGGAGTCCAGCGCATCAAGGCGCTGGCATGTCGCCACGACATCAGCGATGGTAGCTGGGTTTTGCACAGCGAGGGCATTAAAGGCAACAGGCCCAATGCCTTTCAATATATGGCGCACTTTGTCCGATTCCGGCATGGATTTATTGACACGCCGGCAGAGTGCGAGGACATCCTCGATGTATGAAGTATACGATTCACCGGGATGTTGTCGGCGAGTATCGAGTGTCCTCTTCGCGACGGCGGATTGAATGTCTGGTGTCCCAAAGACGTGCCGCAGCTGCTGCTGGAAGGTAGCCCAGTCGGGTAAGTCAACGACGTGGTTAAAATACCATGTCTTCGCGACTCCGACCAGATAAAAAGGCACGTAACGCAGTTTGGCGGCCTCGTCCCACCTATTAGCGGCACTTACGCGGTCGTAGTCATCAAGCCAGTCTTCTACGTCTTCTCCCCGAAGACCAGCGAAGAGCGGGGGTTCCCGCTGATGTCCGTGTATGTAAGTAGGAGGGGCAGCTTGCGGCGGTGCGGGGTTGATGACATCAGTGCCGGCAGGCTCGGTCTGGGACATGCTGCCTGAGAGTGGGCGCAAGCGGCGGCCTGAACGAAGCTCCAGGGGGTATAGCGGGCTGCGGGAGGTCAGAGGACCGAAAATCCACCTCCACCACGTATGAAGTCTTCGTAGTCTTGGCTGCGACAGCGTTTAATTGAGGAAAGACCTCGCAAAACGAACGGGCAGAGCCAGCACACCGACGATGACGATGATGATGACCCAGAGTGGCAATGAGGGCAAAGGGACAAGCGGATGATGGTGATTGTGATTATGCAGGGATGAGGACGATGTAAGTTACAAATGCCCACACTATATATATATATATATATATATATATATATATATATATATATATATATATATATATATATATATATATGTGTGTGTGTGTGTGTGTGTGTGTGTGTGTGTGTGTGTGTGTGTGTGTGTGTGCACAAGTACACGCATTTAAGTCACACGCCACCGCCCCATTAACAAAATCCATGATGCAATGCCCCTTAGCACAGTTGCTATTTTTAGGTGGTGCATTTCTCGTCGGACAACGTTTGACTTGAACTAGTTTTAGGACGTCATATTGTCGAAAAGGTAAAGTTTACAGTGCGCATTCGTACAGAGACACGCTATGTTCAGCTTCGCCAACTGTAAACCTTCGGCGCAAAGCTATAGCACCCAGATTTTTTTTTTTTTTTGTGATGGGTGGTTGGGTGCAGCAGAACCACTAACTTTTGCAATTGGTGGTCGCTGTGAATGCGAGTAAATATTTCAGTATACCCTAAAAAGTTAAACTACGAAAAAATTTCATGGGGTAGAAGGCTCATGTTCCTTCCCTCTCCCCTCTTTTCTAACTGCCTCCTTGTTCTGCGTGCGTTTGAAACGGCATTTTTTTTAATTTCACAGCTTTCTGAGCGCAGCTAACTTCGAATATATCGGCTCAGTTATTCTGTATGTTGCAGACGCGTGACCAACGAAGAAAGAGTTAAGACCAATGAAATCATTATAAGACAACCCCTTTCTGAATTATTTTCGATCTCTACAAGGGCTCTTATGAAGCTCAAGTTCAGCGAATTTGCCTGTCATACTTCAAGGACTATGGAATATGTGCTAGACATGAATGATGACCCTTGATGGGCAGGTACGAATAAATTAGAGTTAAGAAAGCGTGACGGAGGAGACGAAACGCATAGCAGTTCCTGCACGCGGCGCGTGGCTCTTTCAGTACTAGTCGACTGCAGCGCCGCCACTAAGGGCAACGCGGAAGGGATCAGGCGGCGAGGCACGGTCTCGCCACTCAACACTTCTAGTACTCTCTACTAGTGCTAGCATTGATGCGAGAAAACGCAAACCAAACGCACAGGCTGCGAAGTGTTGGCGCGAACATTCTTGCGGTTTGCATCACGTCGTTCGACTGGTAGGTGTTCTGTGGTTCGACTATCACGACGCTATCACAGAACATGGACGCGGTGCACGAAACGGAGAACCGGCCATTCATCGGGGAGGTGATGTCACCGGCAGAGTTCAAAAGGAATTGGAACGATGCTTTGAAAAACGACCAGCAGGCCGACGATCCGACCTTACGAGAAGCTCTCATGAAAGCTCTGAATGTCCCAGAAGCTGTGTTGAAAACTCTAGAGGAAGACTGCAGGTGAGACAACTAAGGGCGACTGCAGCTGTGCATTGTCGTTCTCCCGAATAATTTTGTTGTGGTCTTCCAGGGGATCATCACACGTGTGCCTCGCAAAGTCGGACGCACTTAAATGATTGGCAGTTCGCTTTAGGGACAATAGTCTTTCTTGGGATACTTGAACGCAGAAATTTTGGCCTGTCTGTCTGTCGCACGAAACGATTGAGCCACCCGGCCAAAGTTAGAAACTTTCTTAACGCCCAGCCATCTTGAGCTGGTGGCTGCGTTCGTTCTTGTGAAAATTGTCGGTCATGAAGCGAATATTAGACCTATCTGAGGTGCAAAATCAATACGCAAGTGTTAAGTAATGTGTCCCTTCACTGGAAAATACACAGATACGTAATTCAAGTAATTCTAAATAGCCAAGTGTTTTTAGCGCAGTTAGACTGCGCTTAAAATGCAACACTATAGGCACCGCACACTGACCCGAGGGAGCTGCGTTCCTCGCCCTGCCCCGTCCCAAGTTCGCTAGCAATGGCCGTAAGGAGCATGCAAAAAATAGACGCGCATACGCGTTCCCTGTGTAGCCCGGCCACAATCTGCCCACTTATGCAGGGAGACGCGCGCGTCGCGTTCCATTTTCATGGACACTGTCTCAATGTTGCTGTTTTGATCTGCTAGGCTTTGCTTTTTGTAGTGCAGTCAGATTGAAAAAAACTCTACTGTATGGTGCGTATTCACGAAAGAATGCCGGTAGAAGGCAATTCGCAAGATACATAGATAGATATTACGTTGCTAAAGTACCCTTTGTATCAGGTGGACTCAGTATAAGGGTCCTAGCCAAATTGTAAAAGAAAGGGGAAAAAAAAAGGTGGGGAAAAAGCACATACATGCAAAAATCAGAATTCACAGGTCAAAACTTTGCGGCACTGTGCGTGTCCACTTTGTGTCCCTCCACCACACTTCGGGCTGGTGGCTTTTGGGATGCGCACGTTTCTGCCGCAACAGTTTCCCTCTGCATCATGGAATCCAAGGGATGGATCGATATGGCTGTACCCTTTACATCGGGCAGCTAACGCCTCCTAGCCGTTATGCTTAGTGTACAAAAACTATTTTTATCCCCTCAAAATAGTGAAGTTCAGGACTGGCACTTTGCAGTGAAGGGTTTCATTTTCACTTGTGCCTTGATTGTAGCCACCAATCGGATAACCTCTTCCTAGTTATTTCTACCCCCTTAAAGTCAATTTGCTCTGCTATTTTCTAAGTATTTACTTGTCAATTTTCTGGTTCGCTTCCTTCATTTTGTATCAACATTCCTCATGTACAAATAGCTGGAAACCTTCCTAGCCCAACGCTCCTCTTCCATTTTTCTCAATCGCTCCTGAAATTTTATCTTGCTGCTAGCTTCTTTGCCCTGGTATGATGTCTATCCCACATCACCTTGTACTCCCTGATTTGGAGTATTCCCGTGAGCTCCTAAAGCCAGCCTACTTATTCCATGTTGCTTAATTTCTAATCTTGCTTGAAACTCTGATCTCATGCAGAAGATTGCATTGCCGAATGTCAGACCAGAAACCATGACCCCTTTCCGAATTCCTCTCACAACATCATACCTATTGTAATTCTACAGTGTCCTATTTTTCATCACTGTTGCATTCCTGTTACCTTTATTCATTACGTATATTTTGTGTTCCCTTATGTGCTCGGCCTTATTGCTTATCCATATGCCCAGATATTTGTATTTATCCGTTAGCTCTAGTGTGACCTTCTGTATCCTAAACTCACTACCTTCATAATCATTAAAAATCATGACTGCTGATTTTTTCTTACTGAATCTCATATCTAATCTAGCCTCATTACTGCAGATGTCTATCAATCCGTGCAAATCTTCCTTGTTGTCGGCTATTAGCACTATATCGTCTGTGTACATCAATGCTGGTAGTGCCTCCTGTTCAATGAGTTTTCCTTGTTTGACGAAAGAGAGGCTGAAGCCAAGTCCACTCTCCTCTAAAACAGCTGAAGCGCAAAAATGGTAGCAACGGACTAGAAGAGCAACGAGATCTAGAGATTTGGTATTCCATGCCTTAAACAGCTGAAGTGCAAAAAACGTAAGAGACTAGAACAACGAGAACAAGCGCTTGTCCTCGTCGTTCTTCTAGTCTGTTGTTACCTTTTTTGTGGTTCACCTGTTAGAGACCTGGAATACCAACTAGCCTGCTTCCACACCTTGCTCTACTCTCCTCTGATTTGGCCTCTATTCCTTGTAGGTACATGATGAATAACATGTGTGACAGAGGATACCTCTGTCTAAACCCTCAATTTATCTCTGTAGGCTGGGGTACCTGTTTTTCCCTTTTGGTAACTACAATTGTTACTTTTATAGACCCATTCCATGTTTGTAAACATGGTAGGCGCTGGCTGACGTCATGGGGCGTTGGCTCTGCCCAGTCGTCCAAGCTGAAAGGGCGCCACCAGCCACCATGAACACTTGACGACGAGCGGAGCAAATGCGCAAGCTGGCTTCGAGAACAGCGTGTCGGGAAGCCTCTCGCATGTTTACAAGCTGTGGCCGCAACAGAGGAAGTTGCAGTCGCTGTAGAGGGGTTCTGAAATGAACATATGAGCTATGTTGATATGTAGCTCTAGCTTTTAGAACCTCATCGAACATATGAAGTACCTTAACTGCGGAAATGTAGCTCATTTGCGAAATATCGTCGTTGCTGCAGCCTACGTCACACGTGCATACTTCAATTTGTACTAATGCGACGACAGACCCTTTTTTACAAGAGTCTCTAAAGTACAATATGCAAATGTGCGGTGTAAAAATACGTGAGCATGAATCATTACGATAACTCCTCGCATATAATAAATGTGCCAGAGAAGATATTCATGCGAATGACCAGAACAACCTCGGCGACACTTTCATCCACAACACGCTTGCGACAATGCTTCAATAACATGTTGTGGCCAATGCGGTTACGTACTTGTAAGGTCTATGGCTCAATTTGTACGCTCAAGCCGACGCCGCTAAGCGCATACAACTGAGCAAGTTTCTTGCATTATGCTTTCCTGTGAATTCATGCAGACGTGAAAATCTAGTGAAGTGCACCAGAGCCAAAACAGTGCACTTGTGTCAGGTGTGTCATCGCAGCCACATGTAATCATAAAAACATAGTCTAAGTTATCCTTTCGTTCGCCGCTACTTTAATGAACCGTACCCACGCAGAAACAAACACATGCTCGATCGTTGGCTCGATGACCGAGTGACACCTTTAGTTCACCTCAGTATAGCGTTATCATTTTGACGCGTCGAAGACTTTTGCAGTTATATCAACAATGGCAGCCATGAAAAATGCTTCGCATATGACAATGCTATCCTAAAAATTAACGTACTAAACGTGCTCGACACGCCTCCATGACTTATTTAAAAAAAAAGCATAATTCCATGGCTTATTCCAACAATTGACAGAGCTAATTGCTTTTTATAGGTAAGCCGCTCCAAAACATTACTGTTGAAGCGGCGTCGAAGGCAAGTTCTCGCGTTTCAAAGCTGCTGCTGATCGGCGACAATTTTTTTCAACAGAAAACTGGGGAAAAAAAAAAAAAGACCTGGGTTCATCGTCGTGTGCCTTTTTTGCACGGACAAGAACAGCGCATGCACCAGCGAAAACACTGCAGAAGCTGCGGTAGGCGCCGCGGCTTTTGCCTACCAAGCAAAACCAAACGCCCGACACCTAGCGCCACCGCATTTTCGCGACGTATTTCCGGTGTAATTTGTCTATAGATATATCCTTTAAAAGAATATTGACTCCATCTTTCACACCAAGTGTGTCCAGTATGCCCCACAGGTTCTCTTGAACCATGCTATCGTACGCTCCCTTGATATTCAAAAATGCTAGAAACAGGTGCCTGTGTTCCTTTCCTGCTATTTCGATGCACGGCATCTGTGAGAACAGATCAGTCTTCCAACCGTCTTTGTTTCCGAAACCCATTCTGCAGTTCTCCTAGCACCCCCGCTATCTCTATCCAGTGCCTGCAGTCTTTCCTCTGTAATCTGCATCACCAGCCTGTAAACCACTGATGTCACTGTTATAGAACGGTAGTCTGTGTGAGCTTTGTCCTCCTTTCCTTCATAGATCGTGCTCATCCTGCTATTTTTTCATCCATCAGGGACTTCACCATAGATTGTTTTGCTCACTGCCTCTCATAAAGTTTGCTTAAGCTTGAGACCCAATTCTTTATCAGTATAATTGGGATGCCATCAGGGCCTGTTGATGTACTACTAGGAACCCTGTTCTCAGCCCTTTCCTACTCTCGGGAAAGTGGAGCCACTGCACCACTTGATCAATCCCAGTCTATTAAGGTGCACAGTGCACTTCCTTGTTGAAAAATTTCTGTCATTTTTGTTCCTATATATTCAATAGCTTCGTCCCTTTCTAGCCTAACACTTTGAGCTGTAGTTATAAACCTCTGTTCTAGGCTTGTCTCATTACTTTGGGGTTTTAGATGGTTCCAAAATTTTGCAGCTGCCTTTCTATCCTTTCTACGTACTTCCGCCAGTCACTGAGCCCCCTTTCTTCTAATATTTTTATTGATAAGATAGGATGCTTATCTCATATAGCTTAGAAAGAGATCCCATTTTCTTTCGACATCATCTGTCGGTTCACCCCACTGTTTAGCATGTCCGTGTTCTCTAGAGGCTTGTGGGAAGGTGGTGCCCTCTACGGGAGGGTAGTCAGCTTGGAACATTGGAGGAGCAAGTGCTCGATAGTCTCCCGCTCGCCACCACAGGTCCTACACACATCTGCGGGTGTCTCGGGGGCACAATCAAACTGACTTCGATAGTCAAAAACATTGGGCAGCACGCCCGCTGGAGCCACGAAAAACAGGGCCGCACCACAGCTGTTGTCATACAGTGCTGGCTCTGTCGCAATATCTTTCTTGCTCTCCTAGTACATGTTGATGGTATTCTTGGGGAGCGCAGCTTACTGCCACACTTCTCTCTCCGCCTCTCATACACG